AGAGTGCCTGCAGGATGGAGCTCTGGGAGGGGTTTGTCGAGGCTGCTGGGGGAGCTGGCATGAGTCTCAGGGCCTGAGCAGCTGGGCTGCAAAGTCCCAGCGCTCAGAAGAGGGTGCTAGATGGAGGATCGGCACCCTGGGAACGTGTCTCGAGACCCAAAGCCAGAGGCAGGTTCTGGCCTGTGCTCAAACTCAACATGCCCAAAGCACCCGCGTCCAGTGTTGGGACGCAAACACAGCCGCCTGGTGAGTGTCCAGAAGGGGGCGCTTGACCAGGGCTGGGACAGTGATCGCATACTATCGAGAGCTAAACACCTATCCAGGGTCTTGGTGTGCAATGGGGTTGTCAAGGTTCCTCCCCCACTCTGAACTCTAGGGTACAGATGTGGGGACCTGCATGAAAAACCTCCTAAGCTTATCTTTACCAGCTTAGGTCAAAACTTCCCCAAGGTACAAAATATTCCACCCGTTGTCCTTGGATTGGCCGCGACCACCACCAAACTAATACTGGTTACTGGGGAAGAGCTGTTTGGAAACGTCTTTCCCCCCAAAATACTTCCCAAAACCTTGCACCCCACTTCCTGGGCAAGGTTTGGTAAAAAGCCTCACCAATTTGCCTAGGTGACTACAGACCCAGACCCTTGGATCTTAAGAACAATGAACAATCCTCCCAACACTTGCACCCCCCCTTTCCTGGGAAATGTTGGATAAAAAGCCTCACCAATTTGCATAGGTGACCACAGACCCAAACCCTTGGATCTGAGAACAATGAAAAAGCATTCAGTTTTCTTACAAGAAGACTTTTAATAAAAATAGAAGTAAATAGAAATAAAGAAATCCCCCCTGTAAAATCAGGATGGTAGATATCTTACAGGGTAATTAGATTCAAAAACATAGAGAACCCCTCTAGGCAAAACCTTAAGTTACAAAAAAGATACACAGACAGAAATAGTTACTCTATTCAGCACAATTCTTTTCTCAGCCGTTTAAAGAAATCATAATCTAACACATACCTAGCTAGATTACTTACTAAAAGTTCTAAGACTCCATTCCTGGTCTATCCCCGGCAAAGACCAGCATATAGACAGACACACAGACCCTTTGTTTCTCTCCCTCCTCCCAGCTTTTGAAAGTATCTTGTCTCCTCATTGGTCATTTTGGTCAGGTGCCAGCGAGGTTACCTTTAGCTTCTTAACCCTTTACAGGTGAGAGGAGTTTTCCCCTGGCCAGGAGGGATTTCAAAGGGGTTTACCCTTCCCTTTATATTTATGACAGGGGTGCTGCTCCGGGGGGGTCTCTAGGTGTCACTGGGCTACAAATGATCATAACAGCCAATGTTCTCCTCCACTGGCCTCTTCACCCCAGGCTTTGTCTCGCTCAGAGAGCAGAGGGTCTTCCACCCTCCCTGAGCTGTCCCTTCCGCCAGGCGTATCCAATGAAACCAGTGGGCCTGCACAGTGTGTAAGGTACTGCTCTGTGTACGAGTGTGGGATACACACCCACAAACACACATGCACACACTGTGCTGAACACACACACGCTACACTGTTGTAACAACCAGGCAAAGTACTAACAAACTTCAACAGGCCTTTATTCTTAAAGTGGAAACCTCTTTACCAAGCTGCTGCTGCACCCTCGGTAGCTCTCACTCCCCTCCTCAACTTCTCCCCCCTCCTTCCTGTTTCCTGTCCTTTCAGACTCCCAACAGCCAGAGCTCCCAGCTCTAATAATTACAAGCAGCATCTAAACACCACATACACACACCCACAAACACACCCACTGTGCTGTACACACACATCTACAACCACACACTCTGTGCTGTACACACACACACTGTGTTGAACACCCACACCTATAAATATACACACCGTGCTGAACGCACACACTCTACACACACCCACAAACACACACACTGTGCTGTACACACATATACACTGTGCTGAACACACACACCTACAACCACACACTCTGTGCTGTACTCACACCCACACCCACAAACACACACACTGAACTTTACACACACACACACACATACTCTACACCCACACCCACAAACACACACACTGTGCTGAACACACAAACCTACAACTACACACTCTGTGCTGTACTCACACCCACAAACACACACACTGAACTTTACACACACACACAGAGTCTACACCCACACCCACAAACACACACACTGTGCTGAACACACCCACCTACAAACATACACACTGTGCTGTACACACACACCTACAACCACACACTCTGTGCTGTACTCACACCCACACCCACAAACACACACACTGACCTTTACACACACACACATACTCTACACGCACACCCACAAACACACACACTGAACTTTACACACACACACACACATACTCTACACCCACACCCACAAACACACACACTGAACTTTACACACACACACACACATACTCTACACCCACACCCACAAACACACACACTGTGCTGAACACACAAACCTACAACTACACACTCTGTGCTGTACTCACACCCACACCCACAAACACACACACTGAACTTTACACACACACACAGAGTCTACACCCACACCCACAAACACACACACTGTGCTGTACACATGCACACCCACTCCACACACACACACGCACACTGTGCTGTACACACACCCCTACACACAGTGTGCTATACACACACACACTCTGTGCTCGCTCGACACACATACACGGTACTGTATACACACCCTCTGTACTCTCGCTACACTCCCCTACAAACACACTCACCGGGCTCCCCCCTTGCTGGGTCTCAGAGCCTGGGCTCCGGCCTGCGCCCTGCACGGCTATGTTTAGCCCTGCAGCGTGAGCCCGACTCAGCTGACCCGGGCTCTGAGACTCACTGCAGTGGGTCTTGCTGCTTGGTGGATGTGCCCTGTGGATGCCCGCGTGCCCTGGGAGAGGGCAGTCCTTGCTGGCAGATGCTGGTGGGGTTCCCTCCTCTGGGTGCAGGCGGATTATGTCCAAGGAGGAGGCTGCAGCCCGTCCCCCTCCAGTTCCCAGCCCAGCATCACTGCACTGAGAACCCCTGTCCATGGTGCCAGGAGATCTGAGCCGAGCCCTGCTGCGGTGCTGGAAAGGGAGACAGCCACACCGGGCCCAGGGCTAGGGAGGGGTGAGGCAGGGGCTCAGCTTTTCTATCTGCGCAGAAGCCTGTTATCCCAGGAGAGTGCTCAGTGCCTCGGCACCTCCTAGTCTCCACCAGACTCCGGGCAGGGCTCAGCACCAGTATCACCCTGCCCCAGCGTTTCCCTGGGAGCCAGATTCCCCAACAGGGACCGACCTGCCTCCGACGGAAAGGCAAACACATGTGGTGTCCCCACAGCCAGGCTAAAGAGCCCTGAGCTGGGGGAATGTGGCCCCTAGAGCCAACCCAGGCTGGGCCAGAACCCTGGATCTGACTGATCTAGGCAGAGCTGGAAATGCTGCCTAGCGTTAAGGTTGCCCGCCACTTTTCATTCGAAGGCCATGTTTTCATTTGCTTAAATTTCCCAGGCCAGGGTCTGCCTCAGGCTGATTGTTTCTGGAGAGTTTCATTTAAAACAATTCCAGCCAGTTCTGACAAGAAGGTTAGGAAAACACAACCGTTTGTCAGTCACTGGTCCCTGGCGAAGCGATGGGGCTCAGAGCGGGGGATGGCGTTCGGCTGGGGGGTGCCCTGGGGACAGAGAGAGGTGCCTTTTGTGAAAATCTGCCCCGGTTAGCTCAGTTACAACCCTCTTGAGAAATCACTGGCAGTTGTTAGAATTTCATCAGCTGGGCAAGACACTCCGTTTGCTCAAACCTGGTTACTGAAAACGATGGAGACTTGCCAATCAAATTCAGCCTGAGGCAGACAACCGGCATGGGAAAATTCAGCCAAACCGGTTAACGGCCTGTCTGATTTCCAAATGCTTAAAGTGGTGCCCACTGCCTCACGATGCATGTGTCATGCGTGTCTGTCTGGTGTACCCAGGAATCTCATTCACTGGAGGCCATTTCGATGGCTACCTAGTGGATCTGTGTGTGCAGCTCGGTATTTAGTGGCCGGATTCTGCTTGCTGACACATGGGTGTAAATCTGGAGTCTCTCCATTGGAGTCCATGGCACTTCACTGCATTTACACCATGAAATGACAGCAGGATTTTGCTCCTGGACATCCATACTTAACCTGCACCCCAAAAATATTGTGACTGTATAACCCTCCCAAGGGGGTGGGGCTTTCTCCTCCTCCGGCATCCTGGCTGCATAACAGGGAAATGAAGCTGGTCCTTCCACCACTGTGGGGTTTCAGGCCAGGAGAGTGAGTCACAGAGACCTATGAGTGTAGTGGAACAGGTTCCTGGTTCAATCCCCTCTCTCGGTGGGCTACAACAGGGTGTGGACTGAGGAGACCTGGGCTCAGTTTCAAGCTCTGCCACAGTAATCCTTGGCAAGTCATTTAATCTACCCCTGCCCCAGTGTACTATGGGGCTGAGACTTCCCTGCCTCCCAGAGGGCTGAAGATGAAATTGATTCGTGACCGTGAGGTGCTCAGGTTTCTATGGCCGTACGTAGACAGCTGCCCTGCAATATATCTTCACGCCCCTGCCATCTAAACAAAATGGGCTGGATTATGCATCATTTCTAAGACACGCTGGCCGGTGTCACAGGCCTTCAGCAAACACACGGGCAGGGAATCGAGTCTCATCCTGTGTGGTTTGCAAATGACTAAATTTAAACCTAGAACCCTCTGCCTGCCCCTCTCTGTCCTCCCCCGTGAGCATGCGTAGGGCTGGCTCCTTATCTGTAAATCAGCAAGAGACTTTCCAGTGACACTGCTGTTCTGTCTCCCCTGGCCACAGGAGCGTGGGATGGAAAAGGGGAGACAGGTATTAATAGATGATAATGAACGAATAGAATAAGTATTCATCTCAAGCTATTCCCCACCTCCGTGGACATTCCAGCACCATCATGGGAATCCCTGCTGAGGGCTTTAAAATACAGAGGTCGGCCACCCCAACCTGCCAGATCTGCCTGCTGCTGGAGCCGGAGTTGAGACACCCCACCTGGAAATGAAGGTCACCTCCTTAGCCCTCGTAACACTGCTCTTTGCCGCTCTCTGGATGGAAGCCCACTCATTCAGCTGTAAGTAGAGGGTCAGCCCTGTTCTTTCTCCTAGAGACCCCAGCCTAGATAAGGTGATCTGGAAGGAAAGCTACCCATAGTGCAGAGGAAGGGTGGTCTCACAGGTGAGGGACTGGGCTGAGCTTTGGTAGAACTGGGTCTAGCCCCACCTCTGCCATGGACTCTGTGTGACAGAGCCGAGTCACTGAGGCTGGGATGTCTTAGGAGTCTGAACAGCTCGTTCCCATTAAAAGGATGGAAAATAGGCTCTGAAATCCCCAGGGCAGTTCTGAAAGCCTCAGCCTTCGTCTCGCCATGGCTTCGTTCCCCATCTGGGACATGGAGCTAGCGATCCTCCTTTTGTCTTGTCTGTTTAGATGACAAGAGCAGAGCCCGTGGCTCTGTGCAGCGCCCAGCACAATGGGGCCCCCATCTCTTTCGGGGCCCTTAGGCACAACTGAATCTGAATCTAGAATCATAGAAGACTAGGGCGGGAAGGGACCTCAGGACGTCATCTAGTCCAACCCCCTGCTCAAAGCAGGACCAACCCCAACTAAATCATCCCAGCCAGGGCTTTGTCAAGCCAGGCCTTATAAACCTCTCAGGATGGAGATTCCACCACCTCCCTAGGGAACCCATTCCCGGGCTTCTCCACCCTCCTAGTGAAATAGTGTTTCCTAATATCCTGGGCAACATGAGAGGACTCCCTGTTTCTGAAACTAAGCTGGTTCTGTATTGAGAGAACTAATCACAGAGATCCTGCAACTGCCAGGAGCATTCAAGCCATGTGCACGCAGACTGGCTTCCTGCCGCCTTCTGCAAATGGTGCTTCTCCCTCCAAGTTCCATGCAGGTTGCTACAATCAACATAAATTAATTAACCCTTGCAAACCATCGCCCACACCTCCGGGCAGGGGTCTTAACATCCTTGTCCCCATGCTACCAGTGGGGAAAGTGAGACACAGAGAGGCAAACAGCTAAACAATGAGATCGAGAGTGACTCAGGGCAGAGCTGGGAATATTATAATTGCAATATTTTGGTGTCAGTGAAAGGCAGAAACCCTCCCATGCAAAACAGCAAAGAACCCGATCTGGGGGGTGTCAATGGGAGCATCAAATAATTCCCTCCTGACCCCCAGAGAAAGGTTTGGCCGCTTTCCAGCACAGTCACTATTACACATGATTAATCCTGTCTATCCAGTTCTTCATTATTATCCGGCATATGAGAACTCACTCATCTTCCTTTCTTCTTTCCAGTTGATAGGAAACTCAACACCTGCTGTTATGCAAACAATTTTGTCAGAAAACCGATCGCTCCAAAACTGATCCAGAGTGACAGACCCACAGACCGTAGATGCTCCCGCCAGGCCGTGATGTAAGTTTCACAGGGTGGCAGACGCACGGGCTTGGTGCTTTTCTTTGCTTTTTGTGTCTGTAACTCCATCTATTTCAGTAAACGCCCCAGAAAAGTCCTTTCCGAGAGCTGCTCATGTTGTGCCCCATTCAATTCCAGGTTTGCTAATCCGTCACCGGATGAGTCGCACGCAGAACGAGCTCTCGGATATACCCCCTTGCAGCAAGGGGTTAATCGTAGCTTCTATGCTAGGATTTCATTACTAAGGCTGGTCTACATGGAAAGTTCCACCCATTTCATTAAAGATCTGATTTAAAAACTAGTTTTGTTAAACAGATGCCAGTGGCCTTGCTTATTTTAGTTTCCATCAAAATCTGTTCCTAATCAACCCGCAACACGACCCTTTAGTGGGAGCATCCACAGATACTTGCACTGGTTTCCCTAAATCATGCCAACTGCTGCAACTTTCTATGCAGCCCAGCCCTAAATACACTGGGGTAAATCATCTGTTACTCCCTGAAGAGTTACTGGGGATCAAAACTGACTGACACTGTAAACATAAAGGAGCAAAGCGCACCATGAGATGAGCTATCCTTGCTCTTTATATTGTGTGTGTGAACTGCCAATTTTGTTGCACATTAGCAGATAGCAACGGGGTCTCATAGTCAGTGTGAACTGATGAGATTCCTCTAGAAAAGGACATTGGAAAGGAGCAATAGCTTAACTGAAAAGTTAGAGGAAGGGTAGGTGTCACTGTTAGCAAATGTCTCTGCCTGGCACAATCAGTTCAGATGCTGTAGTGAGAGACGCTCTCAAATAGCTCTGCGTTTGCCCCAGCTCTGGACGCCTGCCCATCAGGATCAGGGCGTCTTGGCTGAAGGTCAGCGGCACTGATCTTAGAACTGAAGTGCACTGAGTCGTGTGGGAGCTCAGAATTGGACTGGCAGGGGATACCTCAGCCTAGGACAGCAGTGCATTGACAAAGCCGGTGGGGGCTGTGCTGGAGTAGTTGGGAGTGCTGCAGGCCAAGATCATGGTGTATTGACCGGTCTGCGTGTGTGGGGGAGGGGGGCACAGATTGCAATAGCATAAGATGTTGCAGGTCCGGATTGAGGTGTGTTGTCAAAGCTGGGGGAGGTGCCCACAGCAGCAGCCTCACAGCACCGTGCCTGGGACCAGCAACTCTGTCAGCCTCCTGCGTTCAAGAGAACCGATTTCACTCCGGAACCAGATCGCTTCAGGGACAAGTGCCTTCGTTCCCAGCGCTCTCCCAGTCACTGCCCTGGCCCCTAGCCACGTGAGCCGTGATCAGAGTCTGTGTGCGTCTCTGCCCCATTCCTAAGGGAACCTGCCTCATGGCCCTTTCTCTTTCCTTTCACAGTGTGGTGTTACGAAGGGGGAAGGAAGTCTGTGTCGATCCCAGTGCGGAATGGTTCAAGACGTACAAAGAAAACCAGAAAAACTCCTTAAAGAAACTTGGCCTGCGGGTCTGAGACAGCAGCAGCTGGACACGATCTCAGTTTAACACGCCATGTTATTTATATGCACTGATGTACCAGTGTAACGTTTTGCTAATTTATTTTTCTAGTCCTGTTAATTTATGTGAAAAAACCCTTCCATTCCCTCCACCCCTTTTCCTTCCCCCCCCTGAGCATGTGATGGGGCAGCTGGCCAAAGCCACTGTCACGTTCTGCAGACACAATAAAATCCAGTGGTTTCTAACATGTCCCAGTGCTGTCACTGATGTGAGTAGGAAATGTCCTCCCATTTCTGAACAAGGATGGGCCTTGTCACCATGGTGTCACTGTGGAGAACCAAGGATGCTGTGGGATGCAATGGAGGGGGGAATCAGGGAGTGGACTGATCCTTGCTCACAGGACGGGCGTGGGGAAGAGGGGACAGGGCCACTCTGGGCTTCTGGGCTTGTTCTGCTCCATCCTTCCCCCTTCCCTCTTGTGCGAATGGTGCAGGCTGCTCCCCTCTCCCCCCAAAAAAAAACCCCTTTGGCTCTTGAGAGGCAAGGGGGGCAAGGCAGAGCTCTGGCTGCTTCCTGCAGCAGCCCTGATTGGCTGCTGCTCCCAGGAGGCAGGGCAGTGGCCCAGGCAGGACTGGTGTGCTTGGTCCCCTGGCCAGATTGGCTGCAGCCCTAGTAGTAGCTTATTGGTGCCAGCACTGGGATGGCAGTGACCACAGGGCTGACTCCGATCTTGCTCCCACCAGGCACTGGGCAGCTCCCTTCCCCTGGGTGCCAGAGTGAGGGAGACCAGAGTCAGGCTGGTGTCCGAGCTCAGGGGTTCCTTTACTGATTTACCTGCTGTCCCCTGCCCTTGGTACCTGGCAGAGGATAAGGCATGCCAGGGGGTTAAATGCAGTAGCCCGAGATTCTCAGCCTGGGGGGCACCACACCAGAACAAATGCCAGGGCACTACCCCAGCCTACCCTTTCCGTATTGCTGTGGGGAGCAGGATCTCAGCTAGATGGGAAGGGGTTGCAGTGTGGAGAAGGTGGGGAACCCGCTGCACAAGCCTTTCTGTTCTGATAACCAAGGCCCAGATCCCCACTGGGGTTCAGAAAAGAAGCTGGGCCTCCCCCCAGCTTTGCTTGATCTGTTTGCTCTGAGTCCGCCTCAGTCTCTGCTCCAAGCTGTGGATCTAATGGATGGGAAGCTGATGGGCCCTCCGGCCTGGAGTTCCTGGGTTTCCCTGTTTGTGAAGGACTTAGGAGAAGGAAAGTTCTTGGATACGAATTCCCTGGTAGCTTGTCCCTGTCCCAGGCTGACAAGACACTGCCGGTAACAGACACGTGGTGGGGTGGGAGGCTGTCTGGACTGTTGGGTGCCACAAGAAGCTGCAAATGCGATTGCAGCTACTGGGGTCTTACTGTTTAAGCACCTGGTCCACCTCCCAGTGACGTTGATGGCTCTTTCCACTGACTCTAGTGGGAGCTGGACCTGCTCTCTATGGCTAAGAGTCCATAACTTTTGAAACTGCCTTTGGTTTTCTCATGTAGGAGGCCGGGGGGCTGAGGAGCAGACAACACCCCTCCCCCCCCCACCTCCAATGGCAATCACCTCAAACAGACCCCCTTAAACTTCCCACAGGCCTAGGAAAAGCCCATCCCCCATTGATATTTGCTCCCAACCTGCTTTCATTCCATCTCCAAAACCCTCCTGCACCCCTAGGATCAGCCCCTCGCCATCCCCCCACAGGCCCAATGCGCCCATGCACTCCCTCTTCTCCCTCCCCCCCTTTCTGCTCCCCTTCCCCATGACAACACTGACAGTGCTGAGGGGCTAGGACATCACAGACTCCTTCCCTTTCCATGGCACCATTAATGCACAAATGGCCCCAGGGAACAAGCAGTTTGGTTTTGGTTTTTCCTAACAATATTTGGAGCATTTCTGCCTTTTCCCTTTGGCCTCCCCTGGTGCCGGGCAGCAGCTGAGGTACAAACCTGCATCTCCCTGTGATTCCTACATGGTTCCCTAAGGGTCTGACCTAGAGACACTCCCTTAACAGGGAGTAGACTCAGGAGCTGCCTCGGCCTCCAGGCAGCGAGAGGGGGCGCAGGCAGGATACATGCAGGCTGAATCTTGATTGCATGCTTTTATCTCTGCGTTTTGCTCTTGTTCTTCTTCTCATGACACAAACCTTCCCATGTGGTGGAAGACCCCTTCCACCAACACTTATGGCAGAAGACCCCTGGATAACGAACTCACGGAACTCCTCTGGGTTGGTGTAGGCCACAACATTGCACGGGTTCACCTGGTGGCAATGGGGATTAAGATCAGACTAACACATACGATTTGGTAATCTTTGATTATGTTCTTGTTATTAAGGAAAATGAAATTACACATGAAGTTAATTATTAATTAAAGAATAAGAAACTAATTATGTGATAACCTGCAGGATATTGTAATATTGAATGTCACCTTGTATTCTGTTAGCAATACAGGAAATGATGGCTACTCTGGAAAAAGTTTATTTGATGTAATTTACCCCCTTTGGACTAAAGAATTCTGAAGTAACACCTCACTGGGGTGAGGGACTAGGTGAGAAAGACAATGTGTCTGGGACTACAGACCTGCTAGAGACTTCAATTAATTCTATTGCAGATGGAATTTATTTTGAAAACCTTTAAGTCAATTTTCTGTTAAGAGAGAAACTACTGGAGGAAACAAGTTGTGTAATCTTTTACCCAGCTAGCCTGTAACAGCCACTGACTTCTCCACTTCTCTTGTTTGCAAAGCAGAGCTGCGACATCCGCTGTCACCTATCCACGTTTCTTATTAAGAATGGTGATGGATGCATGAAGGGGAGTTTAAAAACATCTACCATGAGTTATGTTCATGGTCAGCAGGCCCCTTTTCCTTTTGAGGTGGCCAGATGTTAGCACATGGCTGCTTAACCCTCAGGTCAGGCTGTGGAAACTTTCTCAGAACTGGCCTCGCCTTTCTTTTCGATATCTGTGACGTCCACAGAGCCACCCTGCACGTGGGTTGCAACAATGAATATTTTAAGAAAACTTCAGGGTTAAGCAGGACTCTTCCCAACTGACATTGGCCCAAAGGCTGCCTCCCTTCAACAGGGTTGGGCCGTGTTGGCCTTATCCCGGGCGTACTTTACACCTGATTTGCCCAGAGGCGGCACTATAAGGTGGGGTAAGCTCGAATCATCGCCATAAACGTTAAAGTACAGGCAGAAGTCCTTTGCCTTTCACACCAACACGCCATCTAAGAGAGACTGACATTCCAGGGCCCCGAGACTGATTCCCTCTGGGGAAGGAAGTCATGCCTATTAACTTGGAGATGCCCTGGCCTTTCTATTAAGGGTGTGACAGTGTGGTTGAATGTGTGCGTGTGTGTATGAGCACCTGTAATACCCACACAGAGAGGGTGCCATACAGAACAGTGCCCTAAATCTAAATCGCTCCAAAACTCTGCCCTGTGAAATCGTGTGTTGTGTTTTCTTCGTTCTGTGAAATGACTCAACAAAACTAAGCTGCCTGCTGTACAATTTTTCAGCGAGAGCTGTTGAACGTCTATTTATTAAAGTCTCAGTAAGGCCCGTAGCTGTGTTGGGGGCTGGGAGGGGAAGAGTAGTGCATAACATCTGTGATATCGTCATTGTCGGGTAAGGCGGGACTTCCAGTGACATTGAGAAGGGTGGGACTTCCTGTGACAGGTAGGTGGGACTTCCTGTCATATCATCCTCATCTGTCAATCTCCTTAACAGGCAGTAGGGTGTCCTTACGACCCAAGCCCACTGGAGCTATTGGGCAGAACAATCCCACTGAAATTCCAACAGGGTGAGGGAAATTAGTATGAGCTGAAAACCACAGCATCTAAATTCTGCCTGGACTCAGTAAGTCTGAGCTGCATTGAATTGTCTTCCGCTCCATGCTTCCCCGAGGCACAAGAGCGTGGGGCAGGGCTGAGTTCAGTGGAGTAAAACCCTGCCACTTTTCCCAACAGTGAGCAGGTGCAGGATTCTGCCTGGGGCGAGTTGCTTTGCTGAATCTAGCTAGCAGAGTACCCCTCTGCCCACAGCTCAGTCGCCACACACTGGCTGACTCAACTGTAAGGGGGCACAAGGGCAAACCCCCTTACGGAGAATACAGTGCCCAGTCACTCCATGCAATCAGCACTCAGTGCACTGCAAAGGGCCTCGCCTGGGGGTGGCCAACTCCAAGCCAGGGGGTAGAAGCTAGCTTTGAGTTTCTAAGGCGCTGTGCACTGAGTGGGAGAGGAGTGAAGGGGGAGGATAAGGAGGATTCCTGAGAGATGCCAGCTGGGAGTGATAAATCAATGTGCTATTTCTATGCTTCCCCCCACCCCCAGCAGTGTTGTGGGGAAGGGGCTGGGATCTCCCTGATCTCACAGACCACCTGAGTTTTACCCCCTCTGATGGGGAGGCTGGGATGGGAAATGCAGAGGCTTTGCAGAGAGTCCGACGTGGAGGCTCTGGACATTTGTCCCAGTGCTGAGTTTGGTGCACAGAATAGAAAATGCCCCCTGTGCAGCACGGCCAACTTTGAGCCTCCAAACACCCGGAGCCGGATCCCCCAGAATAGTGAGACAGGCTTAGAAATCAACAGATTAAACACTTAACACGTGCCTTTGCTGTTCTTCTCCCTCCCAGCCTCCCAGGAGGTCTGGGCAGGGGGCAAGCTCCCGAGCAGGGCCAGTGCTGGCTGAGTTCTCAGTGCGGAAGGTATCCATGTCCCAGCCAGTGCAATGTGAAGTCATGCTGAGCTCAGGGGTCCCTTGGCTCAGCCTAGCCAGGGGTCACCAAAGGAGGAGGAGGAGGAAGGGGCCCCCAGACACTGGTGGATGGGGAAGCCAGGACCGGTGCCTGCTGGTGAGCCATGAAAGGCAATGCCCCTCTGGGTGTCCGGGGACCCTACCCAATTTCCCGGTCTCCCCGAGGCAATGTGAAGTTCCATGCCCCTCCCCAGGGTCAGCCTGGCTGGGGGATGGAGGCTGGGAACACTG